GTGGAGCCGGGGAACTGGGGGGCGTAAGCTTTTGCTCCGAGGTACCTTACAGCACACGTCGAGTTTTGTAAAACGTTTCGTGTACTCAGCCGGTATTTATCACTATGTATGAATGTTCAAGTCAAACGAAAATATTGTTGGAAAACGGTCTTAAAGTCCACTTAAAGTGAAAATACTCACATGTTCGTATAATAAGAAGTCGTGGAGTATGGTTTGGATTTGCCGGCTAAAAGATGTTTTCTATGTTTTGCTCGGCGAAATCCAGAAAACTTGTTCTTCAGCGAACACAATCATATTGTCATCCTATTTTAACCTCATATTCATTTAAGAACAATGGCTGGTCATTACAGCTTCTTGAGAAGACCTAGTAGCAGTTGTTTTTGTGAGTAATACATTTATGTCTTCTTGTGTAATTGCAAGAGAAATTTTCCTGCTTCAGTCGAATTGTTCGTCGATAACGAAAGTGTATCATTTTTTTGCTGTTGAGCTTACTTTATAATTAACTTGTTTTTTAGGATACAAATCAAACGTTAAAAACGGAGGACACTTTATACAAATTGGATATTCTCCGATACAGACCAATTTCTGGTCTTTTCCCACTGAAATGTAAGTCTTTACCCAACGGCAATTTTCGGGAAAATATCTGTTCGGAAGACTATTTGAGAACTAGAATTTTCGGAACATTTGTTGTAAAATTTCTTGCTTGCCTGCCTCTCCTAGGATTTTCGAACATCTACAAAATGGTATAATTACCCATTTTAAACGGATATTTACCCTAAAAAAGGCCACCTAGAATTTTCGGGAGCCTTTTTCGGGCTGAAATTTTCGAAAAGGTAAGTTTTGATACCTATAATTTTCGGATCACTAGACTTTCAGCTAGGAAATCCTAACAGATGAAAAGTTTTTAGGGGATAAAAATATGCCTATATATCTACCGTTTAAATACTAAAATACGTTCAACAATGCTATGTTAAGTGGTTTTGAACTATATCCTCGTTGGGTGCCCCTGAATCATTCAGGCTCTATTATTTGCGAAACATCTTCACCGCTTTTGCTGTTGGTTTGAGTGGCTAGAATGAAGCTAAATTCCAAAAAAAGTCTAGAAAGTCTTTTATCATTGCCGTCGTTTTTCGGGTACTTAGGAAAAGGGACGAAAGACACAGCTGAACACCTCATCATGAACAAAATCTTTATTTACGCACGGGCGTGCCTAAATAAAGATTTTGTTCATAGCAGCCCAATAGGACTATATCAGTCCGGAATGTCCCTAAATTTAAGGTCACTGCCAACTGGTCACGCGACACTTTTCAACCAATGAGAAGGCGCGCTTGTGTTTATCAACAAACAAATCAAAACATCGCCCCAGTGATCAAAAATTTTCAAAACAGCGGACGGAGTCGGACAGAATTGAAGATGAGCTTACAGTACTCGTCTAGGTTTCACATATAATATTTCAAAGAAAACATTTCATGTAAGAGAGTAAGAGCATCATTGCAAGGAATCATTGGGGTGTTCGAACTGATTCCGGACCAATCGCAGAAGTCGTGGCTTCACTGGCATGGCTTGCAAGATTTTTGATAGAAGCAAACTGGTCCAGTGTAAAAATAGCCTTATAGAGAGAGTGTGAAAATTTGTTGAGATCGTACAAAACAGGATTGGTACTACCTATTAACTTCTACAAGACAAAAATCAAAGAACCAGTCATCATAACAAGAATAAAAAGTAGTTCAAATTTATTAATTTTTCTTGTTTGCTTTTTTGTGTTGTTTCGTGTTGACTTCATCCATCTGGTGCTTTCTTTGCTTACTGTAGTACCTGCAATGTTTTAATTTTATCTCAAATAATCAGTGCATGTTCAATGAGTCGCGAAATACGGTACATCATTTACACTTGAAATTTGCCTCCTTTCTTTGATTGTTTTTTAACGGTGGATGAACATTTGGAGAATCCAACAACATTAAATCTTTCCAGATTTGGTGAATTTCAGAAACAAAGCGGTTAGTATCTACCTTGCGCTTATGATCTCCAATTTCATCCCCGCAAATTCGGCAAGATCGAGTTAACATTGAGTTACTGTTCCTCAGAGTAGGGACGGAGGATTTGAACAAGGATGGATTCGAAAGATCGCCTCAGGAAGGAGATGGAGTGGGAGCATTTTAACACTCATAAATTCGAAAGAGCACCTCGGGGTGGGGACGGAGCATTTTGAACATGGATGGATTTGAAAGAGCACCGCAGGAACTTCACCGTTCCAGATTCAGAGCCAAAAATCCGTTCATAGTACAAATTTGCGCGCTTTAGACACGACATTGGCTAACAGTGCGTCGTAATTATATATTTCTAGCGAAAAATAGAAAGGGACTGCTCGCGAAGTATTAAGAGGTACTTTTTCTCACACATCGCTCAGAGCACCGTCCTATTCTAAGGGCCTGTGCTCACAGGTTTTTTTAGGTAAAACGTCCATTGATTCAAAGTTGCATAAATTTTTGTTCTTGTTACTGTCCACAATGCAGGCACTGCCTGATCGTCGTCCCACCTTCAATTGAATAACATTGTCATACGCACAAGAAGCCCGGTTACGGGTCGTGACGTGGAGGATTGAATGTTTACAGACCCTTATCGAATGAACATTGTGACACATTATCAAATGAATATTAGTAAAATAATCGAATGAATATTGTGGTATATTTTTGAATAAATATTGTGGTGAATTATGGAATTAGTGAATCATCGAATGAATATTGTGGTACATTATCGAATGGATTTGTACTTAATTATCGAATGAATATTAGTAAATTATTGAATGGATATCAGAGTAAATTATCGAACGAATAACTTAATTTATCAAAAGATAACGGCATAATTTATCAAATACTTAAAATGTCAAAGATACATGGCGCAAAATGGAACTAATATCTGTTTTTTTTTTTCTAACATGGAAATATTGAATGGATATATTAAGTACTTTCTAATTTTGCTTAATTTCGGCAACCATAAACTAGTACTGGGAACGATAAACCGATAAACTTACGTAACAAAATTGCCGAACTAAAGGGCAAACTACAGAAAGTTTCTGACGACCTGTCAAAGAGGGAGAATCAACATGGCCGAAGACTCGGAGAAAGGGAAATGGTCGAAATGTTACTGGGAAAAGCGCATTCGATAGAATTTGTGTCAAGCCAATACTATGAAGACTTCGTCTTTCTGAAAGAAGAAGCTGAGGAGGCAAATTTAGGAGCTCAGCTCAAGAGTAAATGAAATTTCAACTCTGTGGGATCATATTACGAAATGTATCGAAGCCTCAAAAGCATACAGCTATCAATTCAGCATTAAAGCCGTGTGTGTGCCAATAGACATTTTCACGCTTTATGGCGCCATCTTGGCTGGGGGGCAAACACGGCTAAAATTACAGTGAATGTATGGGATTTTGGCCCACTTGGAACCGCTATAACACCGCTACAAAGAGGCGGATTTCCACAGCGAAAATCTATTTTAAAAGACATTAGGATTGAGATTCAGGTTATAACGACCGTAAACGAATTTTTAAGATTTCATACAAACCCTTCTAATCAACATTATGCAAATTACCATGAAATTAGAAGCCAAATGAGAAGATTTATAATTCGAATTTACGAACGTCGTACCTTCTTTATAGCCTCATTTTCTGTTGAATGAATGATATCAATAAAACCGTGATCATGATTGAAAGTCGTGGCAAATGTTGGCAATCCGCCTCTTTGTAGCGTCGTTATGGCGGTTTCAAGTGGGCCAAAATCCCATACATTCACTGTAATCAGTGTAATATTAACCGTGTTTGCTCCCCGGGCAAGATGGCGTTAAAAACCTTGGAAAGGTCTATTGTAGCCAAACGTGAAACATCTCAACAAACAGCCCATCTCTGTCTAAAGGTAGTCGCTGCGTTGGGAGCTCGAGGACGTTTCAGTGACATCGACACTGCACATCGGGGTGCCATCCGGGGTGGCTTCCAACAGACCAAACGCCATTATTTGAAAATTCGTGCGTAGGTAGGGAAAGTAATGGATGGCTGCCTAACTTAAATGAACAGATTTGGTCTAAGTCACATCAACCTATATGATCATCCAAGGCTGCAAGTTCTACTATTTGAGAGTAAAAAAGTCAAGGATGCGAACAATTACAAATATTGTCGGGCGAAGAATAGATTCGTTTATTTGCAACGATAACTTTCAAAATTAAAAGTATGTTGACTAGCGTACGAAAGAGGTTAATTTTGTATAAAAATGCTATATTATTTATTATTTCTTATTGACCTAGGATGGTCCAGGGTCTCAAACGGACATTATGAGAGCTCTGACGAAAATGTCGCCAGCACAGCAGGATATAGATGCGTACCTATGAGACGATCGGGATTGGAATAAGTGATCTGACATCCCTCGGAATATAGCAAATCAATTGAATCAATGAATCCTTTCCCATGATTCATTGGTTCCTTTAATGTGCTATGACCCGAGTGATCTTGGATTGCCAAACCTGATGCGAATCATCCCAATGGAACGCACTCTTAATCAAGAGACCAGGACTAAAGCTAGAGTTGGTCTAGCTTGATAAACAGTTTTCCAGTGGGAAACCCAACCCCCCTCCCCCCAAAAAATATTAATAAAAAATAAACAGTGAGAGTACCTTTCCTCGTTTGTTTTTTTTTTTTTAACAGAACAACGCTTTCAATTGTTAATAAAAAGAACATTTATTACCCTGAATGACTTACAGAATTGAGATTTTCCCTACAAATGTTTGTAAACTTTCATAAAAACAAAGAAGTGATATTGCCCTTTTTTTTAGTGATCAAAACCTAAAAGCAAAGTTACCCTCGATTAGATAGAAACAAATGCTAAGTGGTTTACAATCGTTCTTTCATAAAAAAGCTCAATTAGAAACCAAACCCAACAACGAATCAGTCTTAATTATCCTTTTACCGAAACTGGGAGCTATAGATTGCAACACTTGAGTACTCTGATCATGGCTTACAGAGAAGTGGCCAGAACAGCGCATACGGTAAAGACGATGGCGCTGACCAGTGGTACTGTCGCAGCATTGCAAAGATCTCCAGAGCAGCAATCCAACTCACAGGTTCCTTCCTTACAGGCGTCGGTGTCTGTCGCAGTTTTGCAAAAATCTGCTGAGCTACAACCTTTGGCATAATCCTTCACTGATACTCCGCCTTTTTTGATATCTTCGTAGCCCTTAGCACATCGGTTCTTGGTAGAGGAACAGTTCACCTTTGTTTTGACGCTTTCACAGTCATCCCAACTTTTCGTGCTTATGCACTGATAACACTGTAAGCCACATGCTGAAATAGTACACATAATCAGACTTTCAGAATTTCAGGGAATTGTTGCACTCCTTTCTGTACATATACTAACAGCAAAGCAGTGCCAACAGATTGTAGTAGTATCGGTTTTCCCTCTGTTGTTACCACAGATAGCTAGAACTTTTATGAGTCTACTGGTTCTGCCCCAAGGCCTATAACGCTCCAGCAATGCTCTTGATAATTGTTCTGACACATGGAACCCGAACTCTGAATTAGCTGATAAATAACAATTATTCACCGAAGTGGAGGTGGCTAGTATTGGATATTTTCCGAGGCCGCGAAGCGGCAAGGTAAATATCCAATACTAGCCACCGACACTGAGGTGAATAATTGTTTTAGTATATACTAAAACAGTGAGATAATTGAGCACAAAATCATGATTTTTAACTCATTTACTGTTGCCAACGATTACAATTTTGGCGCGCGATGACCGAACGGCCGCGGTCGTCGCTTTTTCTTAGCGACAAATAAAACTTTTCAAGGCGTTTGTTTAGCTCTTGCGGGGAAGTTTCTTCAAAAGGAGTTGTGAATTCTGTTTGTATTTAAAATAATTCTTTAAAAAAGATTATTACATTTAGTTTTAAGCTTATTCATGACAAGTAAACTAAATAAAGTACAGTATGTTGCCCACTATCCGGACGGTACCAGTATCCGGACACTTGAAACAAAAACTCAATTTTTGAGTTGCCCTTTTCAGTTCCCGGTAAACGAAGTATTTCGAATGAAAGCTGAACATAGCTTTAAGATGAAAGTTTTGGCGATTTGAAAGCTTGCGAAACAGTCGCAGAAGACGCCGTTCTGTTCAGGTGAGTAAACTTTTCATGGCTACTATTTACGCTGTTTACTGCGCAGTAAAGTTAGTGCTGCTCAGAAAAGGGAGGGTAATGTGTGATATTTTCAAAGAAACTGTTTTATTTTTAAAGTGAAGGTACTTAAGGAAGTCAGGTTTTCAGAAAGTTTATTAATTTTTCTTGAAATTCGATTTGTTTGGAATAACGGAGGCCAGAAACATTCACTAAGTTTTGATGTCATGTGCCCAGTATCCGGACAGTTTTTTCGTTGCTGGACAGAATCGATGAATTAGCGGTGTACATTCTCCGGATAAGATTTATTTCATATCAGTAACTATAATTAAAGCCTAGGATATATGATATGGTCGTAAAATGTAACTCCACCCAACTCCGTATGGAAATTTTCTTCACTCATTCAGAGGCGACTTGATTTCGTGTGCACGGCTTGTTTCGCGTGACTGCATTTTCTATATATAACCGAAAGCGTCTTAGTTGAACCTGGAATTCTCATACTTTCCCCAGTTGGGACTGCTAGAATGGGGTTGCAGCGGTCTGAAAAATGTCACAAAGGGATTGAGAGATGTGAAAGAAGGAGGAATTAGTGCTAGAAAAGCAGGCTTATTGTGGGGACTGAGCATGAGGAAATCAACACTGCAGGTCAGACTAAATAGGAGAGTGACCTTTGACCGTCGGGTTGAGGTCCCTTCCCCAAGCTTTTCTTTAAATAAAAAATGAAGAAAGAAAATCGTTTGCAGATTGGCTAATTGAGCTTGCAAACCACGGCTTCGGCATGTCCACGGATGCCTTCCTTAAATCAGTGAAAAAGTTCCTAGACAAGGAAGTGAGAATTATACCATTTTTAAAACAGCTGCTCGCGTTCGCCACCATACCCCAGTCATTTGTTATGTTTTATTTCACGATGCTAGGTTATATTTTCGGAATCGATTGCCAGACTACTTTGCAAGTGCAAGAGAAGCTTATAAGTCGCTTGCCTGTCGAAATTTATGTACAATTACGTTGTTATTGTTGTGTCCGGATACTGAGCCAGCTGTCCGGATACTGGGCAACAAAGGAGCTCTTCCAAAATATTAATTTCGCGACGGAAACAAAGGCAAAAAAGTTAAACTGTCTTTCGTCATCCTAAGGACTAGATAGATTTTCCCTGGGCCAAATTTCAGAGCTCTTGCGATTAACAAAGGAAAGTTATTGCAATCTTAAACTAAAGTGTCCGGATACTGGGCAACATACTGTAGCGCAAAGACTTAAGCTTAATTTGCATTTGTAAACAAAAAACTTTTTCACCGGTTTTATCGATAACTAATCAAGTCAAAAAGACAAAGCTTTACCTGTTAAAACTTCCAAACCGACCTTCGTCACCCTCTTCATGTATTTCGGAAATAGCTTGCTTGATTAGTTGTGAAATTTCTTAGTTTGTTACGGCAGCAAACCGGGAAAGCATTTTGCGCGCAACCTACGCGAGTTTGGCGTCGCTCGCTCGGAGGAACTGGTAGCCTGCGAGCAAGCTCTCCTATTTGGGCAAGCGAAGTGAGCCTCGCGAGAACGCGGGAGCGAGGGGCCGAGGAAAGGAGAATAGCGTTTTCCGGCATTTGGTTCTCTTAAGGTTTACTCCAGTTGCTTCCAACTCTTTCTCTTTTCCTTCTTTAAGATCAAGCTACACAGCTACACTGTCAAGTACATGTTTCTGAATTTTTCTACCCAGAAGAATTCAATCGGGCGAAGAAACCGATGTTAGAAGACAGTGCTTTAATCACTCTTCACTTTCACTCTCCCTGTTTTCAGAACTAAACAAGGCGCTTGACACAGATGAATACAACTGATGAAAGGTTTTCATTTCCTTCCACAAGAACTACAAACTCGGTCCGACTTATCCTCGGCACGCAATATTCTCTTTGCGACAATTACAACAAACGAGCCCGTCTGCATTGAGGGCTGAAACAAGTTCTTGGTACCAATCTGATCCCCCTGAGAACCAAATTTGACACACAGACGAAGCGGGTGCCAGCTTGGCCAGTTATCAATCAACTTTGATTTCCGGAACGTCATTTTTCAGCCAATGGCATTTCCCTTCGTCTGGGCAAAGTACAAATGAAAATTTGTAAGGGATGGTTGCAAGCTCTCCTTTCCTCCGCCCCTCGCGGCTTCGCCTCTCGCTCGCGCGTTCTCGCGAGACTCGTTTCACTCGCCCAAATAGGAGAGCTTGCTCGCAGGCTAAGGAACTGGAGGTAAATCAGTGAATAGTGCAGGATATTCACTGATTGAGTAGCCAATCAGAGCGCACGAAAAACACTATCCACTGTTTTAGTGTATACTAAAAGTTGTTATTTGCCTGTGTTTCCTGAGTCTTTATGAGCCGTTTTGGAAGGTATTTGAATCCACTCATTGGATTCAAATCCCTTCCAAAACAGCTCATAAAGACTTCGGAAACACAGGTAAATAACTGATTCTTTTATTAGCTAATACAGCGTTCGGGTTCCCTGTGGCGATGACGAAGTTACGTAAACTTAATTTATCTGGTTTTATCGCTAACGAAGTTCAAGTAAAAAAATTCGAATGAAAAGTCTATTATCGGCCCGTTTTTTTTTTTCAACCGCGATGTCTTCGCCAGTGAAGAAGAGCAACATTTTCAGTAGCGATAATACTAAGAAGTATGATACACAGGTTGGCTGGGCTGGTCCTCGCTACTGTAGAACAGTTTCATTTTTATCTTGTAGCGAACAGATTTCCAGTTAAATTAACCCGCAACCTTGTTTCATGGGCAGCAGGGGCGGATCTAGGGGGAAGGGTGCAGGGGGTGCACACCCCCCCCCACCCCTGAGATGACCTGCAGTTTTCTAATACAAGTGGTGTTCTGCGAAAAAAAAAAACTATATGGTTTATTGGTGTTGAAGTAGAGCAAGAGACGAGTGCACCCCCTCCTAAAAAAAATCCTGGATCCGCCCCTGGGCAAGGTCTCCTGTCCTCATTCATTAAAGGCAGCGAAGCAGTAGAACTGACCTCAGCAGAATCAATATTAAATGTTTGGCCAGTAACGGCCTACATTCGCATGAGAGTAGACCCTTGGGATGTATTAAACCACACAAATTAAACTCCTTTAGCACTACTTTCATTTGACATCATTTTGTTTTTTACTCTAGTCATAAATGAAGATTCACAGATTCCTTGAAAACATATTCTCCTTTGGCCTTTGGTAGCTTTCATACTATAAGTATAGTATAAGAGTTTCAATTAGCAGTAAAAATAGCTCTGTAAAAATAGACAACTGTTTCCACGTGCTTAATTATGCCGGTTGCTTCACGTCAACTTTAACGAACTATAAAGACTCAGGTGTGAGATAATTTTTCATGCTCTTTATCCGCTACACGAGACCCAAGCATACATGCTTTTTAGGTAATATTCATAATGAGTATTTTTTTCTTAAGTGACAGAATGTCACAGCAAAATAAACACAGGTACATTAACATTACGTCAGTTTTGACCCACGGCCAAAAAGAATGGGCGAAGCCTTATCAATGTCATCAATAACAGACCCGATTCCGGGAAAATACGGATGAGTCCTTTGCCAGTTTCTAGGAATTTTACAAGGAACGCGATTAATTTCATAACCACGGATAGACGTTGAGCTAAGAGAGAATGAGCCCATTCTCTCTTGCGTTGAACTCGAAATTATAAAAGTCTAAAATGGACGTGAAAGCAAAAAAAAAATACGAAAACTTTGAAATTAACGTTATGACTATGGCATGCTGATTCGGAACTCCCACTAAATCAACAACCTAACATGAAAGCGCACCAATATTTCTTTCCCCTTCTGATCTTTGAGAAGTTCACCTGCACTTAAAAAGTCAAGCGAGTTTAAATAACTACATCAAATTTGGCGAGAGATAGTTGTTAAAATTCTTTTGAAAGGTTTCAGCTGTTGTAAACTGTTCCACGCTTTTGAATCTCTACGACGAATAGAATTTCTAATAAAATTTGTTTTTGGGCTCGAAGAAAATGATGTCTTGGTATCTTCTACAGCCTGAATTCCTCTGTACAAAGAACTATTAAAATTTCCTGGCGGTGTAACTTTCGCACATTTGAAGAACGAAAATTCCAGCTATGATTATCGTACGCAATCGTGACTCGTGAATATAGGAGCATGAAAGAAGTACTAAGGGGTACCACCACAGAGTAAGGAAGTGAAAACTTTCACTCCGAAAATGGCGATTGTTTCCATTTGAGCCACGAACCAAGGCGATTATAGCATTACTAGTAGAAATGAACTTTTTAAAGCAACAGTAAAGCTATTTCAGTGATACAAGCTCATATGTTTGGAATTTGGTGGTTTATTGAAAGCCTCTGTGAAATGAAAGTAGGCGCTGGCTTATCCGTGAACGCGGAAAAGTTTTGTTGGTTTACAGAGCAGCTGTTTCCATTAAACGTGGCCAGATAAGCTTTAATGTCACGGTTACAAAATATCCTTTCACTAATACATGAACACAACTTTCAAACTCAACTTTTTCTGATGATCCTCCATTCAGATCAATTTGAGGGGTGATGAATGGTCCATGAAAATTTTTAACTGCTCGCAAAAATTTTACCTTTGCTCGATTTGCTCGCAAAGTTTACACGAGTTCTCGCTTGCTTGTGCTCACCAAATTTTTGCAGTTTGTCGCGCGCATGTTTGCTTTCTTGTCAGTATTGCTCGAAATTTTGTAAATCCCTCTTTGGGTTAAAGTAAATGTAATTCTGTATGGTGCTTAATTCCTGTAAATATGGCTATCAAGTTCATTGGAAATGTACGCGATAAATGACAACGATAAATAATAAATTAGCTGATCTAGCTATATACGGTTACAAGAGGAGAAGATATTGTTACCTTGGGTTCTTCTGAGTTTCTCTACCGCTCTACTCACTGGGCTTTAATTAGGCCGTGTTTTCGATAAAAACGGTTTGGAAGCTTTAGGATTCTTCCAGAAGAGGCTGTTCTGACACGAGGACGTTGTTCCTATATAACAAGTGCTCGCTGCTTGCGAGTTGTACTCTCTAAACTGCTCGCTGCTCGCAAAGCAAATTTTTTATCTCTGCTCGTGCTCGCAAAAAAATCGCAGTGCTCGCATTCTCGCGAATGCTCGCAAAGACCATTCGTCACCCCTAATTTGGATACGTAAAGACAACCGTAACAAAGACGAAGCGTAATCTTGTAAGGAACGACTGAACATCTCATATCATCGTATACCAATACAGCGAAGAAAGTACAGCCCTAAGAAAGGCAACTTTGAATAAAAGCGTTTCAAATCCGCTATGTATCGATCGACTGGCATGTCCAGTCATTGCCAGAAAGAACTAGATGGCGATGAGCATATCAATGCAATAGAACGGACCAAAAGTACTTACCGAAAGAAACGCAAAGGAGAAATGCCAAAGCAAAAAGTCCCTGATTCATCTTTGGGAGAACTTTTAAGGCGAAACTTCTCTTCAGCAAAGTCAGCTCCTCCGTAGCTGTCCCAAAAAGTAAAGTGGCCTTTTACATGGAGCACGCTATATTAATCGCATCGTATTTTTCCCTATTCTGACAGTGAACCAATCAAAATGGTCGATTAAATGTCTATCACATCTGTGCACCAATCAGAACTTTAGGGCGCTGGCTCGTAATTTAACATCAAGAAGCCATTCTTTATCAAAAATTGGCTTATTTCTCGGAATTTTACGCAACTCTGCATTTTAAGTGATTAAACGACAAGAGGGCACATGAAACTGAAGAATGCGTAGGGTGGGGATTTGGGGGTAAAAAATGTTGTGGTTATAAAGGAATGTGGATTCACAACTTCTGCTAATTCAACAAAATAACAAAATCGAACTTAGATGAGGGGCCGGCTTATTAGGAATCCACTGTATTCGGGACAAATCGAGTGAGTTAGAATAGTCGAGGTAAGGTTTCAAAGAACCTGAATTCACCGATTGGCCGTTTGCATTTTCGTCGCCCGTCTAGCTGTCGCACTGTATTCGGGACAATTCACGCACACGAGTTAGAACGATAGTTTAGAAGTTCACCGACAGACGGAAAATTACCGTTCCAGAGTTACTGTTTAAAGCGGATAAGTCAGCACACTTCGACCCTGTTTGTTGAAACATCCATGGCAAGCTCCACCGCTGTGATGGAGGAACTGTTAGTCAGTGTTGGGTTTAATTGCGGAAATCGTGTTAAGACTACAGGCGAATTACTCGGCCTTAATTCGGTTCAAAACTGGAAGAAACGAGCCTTTTACCGATATCTAGTCAACTTTCAAACTCTATCATTCATAAACGTTCTTAGAAATTTGGTGGTTTATAGAAAGGCTAACACGACAAGTTGTCTTTGACAACTATTTTCATTGCACGTGTGGCCAGTTGAGGAGACATGAAGTCTAAAAGCTCATGAATGAATGTATGAAACCTCAATGTACCGTTAACACATGCATTATTAACGAAGTGCTTTTTGTCGAGCCATGCAGATTCATTTAGCAAATAAAAAACAACTATTTTGTACCCCCTTTTGTACGTACTGACAGGCGCGTAGGAGGGGGGGTTCGACGGTCTCGAACGAACCCCCTTTGCAGGTCAATATAAATGATGGAGGACTTTAGACACAAGCTGCTAATTTTCAGCTTTTAGCAAATAGTGGAGGATTGGAAAACAAACCTTGAGTGTTTTAGCTCAGTTTTTAATTAATTACCCTGCAAGAAAACGCCAACAGTATCGGGAAAGTCTTATGGGCACAAATAAAAAAGAATGATGCAATTGCAAAATTTGCTTTACGAAACGGGATAGTTTTGTTGTGAGTTGGTAGCCCATGTTGTGGCCCCTGTATATCCTAGTGAACTAGTATCATATGTAGTCAAAATAATCCCACCATTGAAGGTATTCACTTAATATAACAGGCGTTCCGGATTTGACAAATGGAGTCTCGAAAGACGAAAGGCGTAGAATAATATTTTGCGGGACCTAGGTGATTCGTGTTTAATACATATTGACGTTTGACGCTGCTTTCAGTACAAAGACAGTGGAGCCGGGGAACTGGGGGGCTTAAGCTTTTGCTCCAAGATACCTTGCAGTACACGTCGAGTTTTGTAAAACGTTTCGTGTACTCAGCCGGTATTTATCACTATATATGAATGTTCCAAGTCAAACGAAAATATTGTTGTTATGACTTCAAACACCTGTTATTTTAGACTTGATCGAGTTTGAAATATTCACCTGGAGACTACTGAAACTGATAGCATTTCCAGGTTTCTAGATTTCAACATTTTCTGGGGCAGCATGCAATTTGCGCCAAGAAACCCCTAGAGGCTCGCGCCTTTGGCGCTCGCAGTATTTCCCGCTGTTAAGAAATAATCGTATCAGTACGAACACCCCTTCTGAAACCCCAGCTACGCGCCTGAGTACTTAGCCGTTAAGTGAAGTCACAGCATCGAAACAGCAAAGCGTTCTTAAAAGTGTCAATTTGACGTCGTGGTACGTCGTCTACTAATGCTTCGCGAGAAATTACAGCCCCTTCGGCCTCGTTGTTAAACTGGGCAACATCGAATTGATCGATGGGCTCAGTGACCTGTCTATATTATTACCAGAACTTGAATAGCTAGATGGCAGTGAGTAAAAATACATACAGTAGTCAAAATGATCAATTCCTACCTTAAGAGAAGCAAAGAAGAAATGCTAATACAAAAAGTCCCTGATTCATATTTCATACTCTAATTTCAGCAGTATTCCACGGCAGTTTGTCCCAAAAAGTTGAGTGTATGATAAAGGAACACCCTCTATTCAGTCGAACTGATGTTTTCCCTATTCTGACAGAAAGCCAATCAAAACGGCCGATTACTTGCATGTGATTTAAGGTCACAGTTTTTTCGGAAAAAGTAAGCCCTTTGCTAGCTTCTCAGAATTTTACGCGAGTCTTTTGTTTATCAGGTAATGATGTGCAGAGGCCAGATCATAAAATTCAACAAATACCAGCAAATTTACGTATTCATGATTGCCGTAACAACATCATGTTCAATAGGTCATTTTACAGTAGCCTGCGTAGCAGGCGCTTGGAAGTAGTGGGCGCAAGAAAGAATGAGCGCGCGAGAGGGAGACAAGGGGAGAGGGAGCGCCTGCCCGGAAGGCCCACGCCTGAATCGTCTCCCGCCCCCAATCTAGCTGGCAGCCGCTACGTGATCTGTCAAAAATTTTGACAGAAAACGAGTGACCTCGCACAAAGAAAGCGTACCGCCAAGAAGCGTGGTACATTTTATTGTTTTAAAGATAGCCAATCCTTTATTTTCTCTGCGAGACATCAACTAGACACTTGGACTCACGCCCGCCAGGAGACACGTGGTATGGCGTGATTCTGTGGGTGTGGAGAGTTCTAGGTCAGGACTGAAATCAGAGTGCGCGGATTTTTTTCGTCAGAGCTTTCTCTGGTCGTTACGCCATACTGACGAGTCCGAGAAAGGGCGAAACTAGGGCGGATAAAGGTTGGTAGGTGAAACGAGCGCGTCCGAACAAAAAGGTGTGATGCAGTGGACTGGGACTCTGCTTAGAAATGTCGCTTGTTTTCGACTTCGGTCAGGGCTTGCGATGTGGTTTGTCCATGGCACTGCCGCTGTCACTGAATTATGGCGGCTTGAATTGTTTTCTTGCAACTTCTTCCTCCTTCCTTTGTGCTGGTACGCTGTCTCCTAGAGGCAAATGTTGCATTTTTTTGCGGGAGGTTTAATTGAGTAGACAAACATCTCTTTCAAAGGGTTTCTCGTATTACTTCCATGACTCTACCACTGAATTATATTTTCGTTCTCTTACTCGACAATGTAGATGTTATTCCAAAATAAAAACAACTAAGTACTGTCTAAAACACGAAGGAAAATCTCATCCATGGCATCCATGGCAAAACAAAAAGACAGCAGGTCTTGTTTCATAACTAGATGACGTGTATTTTATAAATGCGTGCAGCTCGTGCAAGGTGAAATTATGCTAATTTCAATCACCATCATCCTTCTTTTTAATTTTCAAAAAAAAATCTCATACGTCCTTTTGTTTCTTCGAAACTTCAAAATTAGTTTCCCCTCAGTTTTTACCGTTTACCTTGTTTTGTTTTAGAGAGAAAAACGGAGAAAAAACCCTGCAACTAACCTCAATAAATTTTGTTTACATGCGGTTGCCGGATTTGCGACGCATTGCGCGAATCGCCATGGCGCGTTGCACCCGAGAAGCAAAGTTTGAAGCAGTACAACGCCACTATATCAAAATATATCAATCTAATTTTTTGTTATGTTATATAAAATTTCTCCGCCTTTAACATATGTAAAAATTGAGGTTAAGAAGTGTTAAGCTTTTGCAAACGAAACGGCGAAAGACGATTAGGTGATATTTAGTGGAAGGAGGAGGTATTCAACACTTTCAAATTAAACTCAAATTTTGGCATTATACGACCAACAAGTTTGACTTATAGGCATACAGACACAAACATATGAAACTGTTTATTGATATTGTTATGAAACGAATTTATCTATTTAACATTGTAGCCTGAAATTACAGAAAGAAAATAGAATTTCCGGTTTGCAAAAAGGAAAATTTCGCCGGCCTTCAAGCGCACCGGAAGCGCGGAAAGAGCGCTCGTGCCAGTCCTACTCCGCATCACACATTAAATGAAGAGCGGAGCGCTCGTTTCACCGCCCAACATTTATCCGCCCTGGGCGAAACAGTTGTCTATGGCTACAATCCCGCTCTGTTTTGAGTCTTTTCGGTGTCGTGTAGATATCTTGCAGAGTTACAAACTTCGTTCGTTTTCTAATGTAAATTTTGCTTAAAAATACTAGTTAGCATAAAAAAGGAATGATTTACATAATAAAGCAAGAAGGGTTGTATCAAAACAAGGTTAGCCTGCAGTGCAGGCGTATTTTGGGCGAGTGAAAGCTGTTGTTTATATTCGTACTGTTGTTACCGCCATCTTTGTTATGACGGAGGAAGATTAGGGAGAGTAAAAATAGTAACCCTAAGGGTAGGTGCTAGGGCGAAAGAAGGAAAGAGGGGAGGGGGAGGGGAGAAAAAATACGTCTGCCCGATATTATTGTTCTTTTGGGAAACTCCGTACGCTGGCAAACGAAGCCCCTGATTGGTGCAGCTTAGGGGAAGCAGATTGATGCCTGTCAATCAACTGTAAGTCTATATTGTTTATTCCGTTTTCGTTTAAATGCAACTGCGGGAAGAATTATTCTGAATTCAGAAATGGCAGACGTAAGAGCGATTTTTAACTCTGCTGTCGAAACAAGTCTTTTGGAATTGCTGGGAATGTTGCGTGTATCACGCAATGAGAAAGTCAAAGCGATTTCTACACTGGCATCAGGACAAGACTTGCTCGCAGTGCTAAAACGCTCTTTTACCGAACTTTTACCTCATGCCAAATGCTGCTTGTTCCAATACTTTTTT